ACTGCACTCGCATAGGGAATACGCTCCATGCGTGCCTTATCTTCCACTGTAGTGGGAGATTGTTTACCTAAAAACCTAAAGTGTGGAGCCAATGGGGTCACCATCGATTTTGCACTTTGCATCCTGAACCTCACAATCACCCGCTCTATGAAGCCCTTCTGACTCAAGAACAATCGCCGATTCGCCCGCTCCCTTCTAATCTCCATACCCAGTATTTTCTTTGCAGCACCTATGTCCTTCATCTCGAACTCTTTGCTAAGTTGAGATTTTAGCTTATCTATCTCCACCTTGTTCTTCGATGCAATAAGCATGTCATCCATATACAAAAGGAGATAGATATAATCAGATCCACGAAGCTTTTGAATGTAAACACAACAATCATAGTCGCTTCGGGAAAACTCATGCTTTAGCATGAAGGAGTCAAATCGCTTGTACCACTGTCACGGAGATTGCTTCAATTCGTAAAGTGACTTCCTCAAGCGACATACATGATTCTCCTTATCCTCAACCTTGTAACCCTCAGGTTGATGTATATAGATCTCTTCATCCAAGTCTTCATGTAAGAAGGCCGTTTTGATGTTGAGTTGTTCCAGCTCAAGATCACCATGAGCAACAATACTCAATAACACCTGAATAGAAGTGTGTTTCACCACCGGAGAAAATATCTCATTGTAATCCACACCCTCTCTTTGTGCAAACCCCTTAGCCACTAGCCTCACCTTGTACCTCGTACCACCGAGCTTGAAGGATCTTCCTTTCTTTTATACAACCACTTACAACCTAAAGCTTTCTTTTCTACGGGTAATGAGACCACCTCCCATGTTTGGTTCTTCCGGAGCGATTCCATCTCCTCCTCCATCGTAGCCAACCAACTCTCTCTATTTCTATCCCGAATAGCTTCCTTGAAGGAGACCGGCTCATCTTACTCCACCGAGAGTGCGTACTCAACCAAATTAACCTGCCCATAGTACTTCAGGGGTTGATCAGCCCCCAGCTTCTGTACCTGCTTGTATACCCGCCTTGGCCTAGTGGAAGCCAAGCTATCCTCGAGCTGCTATTGTTGTAGTGCCTGTGTATTCTCCTACTGAACCTCCTCCTGCTATTTTTTACTTGAACATGACTAGAACCTGGTTGGTCTTTAGGTTCTATATCAATAACCTGGGACTTAGAATTCCCAACAGTCTCAACACCATCATCCTTGGGCACCCTAGCAATCATGGACTTCTCATCAAATGTAACATCCCTGCTGATCACGAACTTCAAATCTTTTGTACATCAAAGGCGATAGCCTTTTACACCCTTTGCATACCCTAAGAAAATTGTCTTCTTGGCCCTCGCGTCAAGCTTTCCCTTGTTGACGTGATAGTAGGTGGTACACCCGAAGATTCGGAGCCTCTCATAATTTGCATGCTCCCTTGACCACACCCGATAGGGTGTATCACCGTCCAATGTCGAATATGAAGATCGATTCACTATATAGCAAGCTGTAGCAATCGACTCTACCCACCATTCTTTACCCAAACCAGCATAAGATCGCATACTCACTGCTTTCTCCCGTAGTGTTCGGTTCAGTCTCTCCGCGACCCTATTTTACTATAGTGTAGATCTAACTGTCCAGTGTCTGGTAATCCCCTCCTGATCACAGAACTCCTTGAAGACACCATCTGTATACTCTGTACCGTTATCAGATCTCAATGCCTTTAATTTCTTTCATGTTCTGTTCTCAACCATCGCCTTCCACTTCTTGAATGTCTCAAATACCTCATTTTTATGCTTCATAAAATAAATCCAAGCATATCTCGAATGATCATCTATGAATGAGATAAAATATCTGGAACCACCCTTAGAAGTTGTCGAAGCCGGACCCCAAACATCCGTGTGTACATAATCTAGAATCTCTATGCTCTTGTGATTGCTTCTCAGAAATTGAACCCTGTGCGCCTTTCCATACACACAGTCCTAGCAAAAATCCATGCAAGGCTTCTTCAGATTCTTTAGCAAACCCTCCTTACTAAGTAGATCCAGACCCTTCTCTGACATGTGCCCAAGCAGCCTATGCCATAACCGTGTGTGCTCACATGGGTCTCCACCACTTTCATTAGTTCCAACTACTGCATCTCCTATCACCGTCGTACCCAAGAAAGTATATAGGTTACCGTGACGAATGCCCTTCATCGCTACTAAGGAACCCTGAACAACCCTCTTCACTCTGTTCTCTATTATAATCTTGCAACCCCCGGAGTCCAAAGCACCAACTGAGATAAGATTCTTCCGCAAATCGAGAATGTGCCTTACATCCATCAAGTTTCGAATCACTCCATCATACATCTTGATCTTGATATCGTCTAACCCTACCGTTTTACAAGCATGGTTATTCCCCATCAATACGGTTCCACCATCAATGCTCCTGTAGGTAGTAAACCACTTCTTATTTGGACACATGTGGTAAGAGCAACCAGAATCAAGTATCCACTTCCCGGAGGTATCCTCACCACCCGTGACGACATAACATTCTTTCCTTATCGTCTTTCAGTCTTGTTGTTGTTCTTCTTCCCACCTACTCTCTTATTAGGACAATTGATTTTAAAATGCCCTAGCTCACCGCATTTGAAACACGGTCTTTCCGCAAGAGGTCTTGATTTTGATCTAGACTTTCCTCCCTTGTCTTTTCCTCGCTCATTGCCCCTTCCTCTGGCGAAGAACCCTTGCGCTTGTTCTTTGTTACCACCAGTGGCCATATCACTAGTTGTAATTTTTCGAATATCATCTGCTAGAAGCACCGTTCTAGTCTCATCCATTGATAAACTGTCACCCACAAGCATCAGTGTTTGAACCAGATTCTCATAAGACTTCGGCAGAGATAGAAGTAGTAGAAGTGTCTGATCCTCGTCTTCTACTGTCACCTCAATATCTTTTAAATTCGATAAGATCCTATCAAACTTGTTGATGTATTCCCGGATTGATGAACCCTCCTCCATCTTACAAGTATATAATTTGGATTTTAAATAGAACCGGTTCGTTAGACTCTTCATCAAGAAAGTGCTCTCTAACTTTAACCACACGCCCGTAACCATTTCCTCCCCGTCCATCAAGAAAGCTACATCCCTTTCAAGGCAAAGGATAATCGACGCTCGTGCTTCCAGATCCAGCTCGTGCTCCCACCAAAGCTTTGTGCAACTTTTGCGAAATCAATGAATTTTTCATCTGCATCCTCCAATAGGAAAAATCATTCTTCTCATTGAATTTTTCAATCATGTATTTTCTAACTTTAACTGTTTTACTTGTAGACGTCATTCTCCGCTTGTTTTAGTAAATCCGCTTCTCTTAGGAATTTTAACAAATACATTGTGTTCACCACACAATAATCAACCACCACCTCAGATCACTAGCTCAACCACCGCCGATCTGAATATGGGCTATGATACCAAATGTTGGGCGCAGAGACACGTCCTCACGCCGCGGAAGCGATATCACCTGAGAGATAGCCCTGGTTTTTGTTATCACAAAAGCATAAGTCAACCTCTATATTCTTATTTCTCAAAAGAAACTAGAATAGATAGTGAAATTCTTATTTTTCAAAGGAAACAAGAATCGAAAGTGATATATTTCATCAAAGTAAAATATACACTCTTCCTCTCCTCAGTTCTAAGACTGAAATGTCGAGGGAACCTACAAGCTATGACAACACACAGTAAAAGACGAGACAACAGATTTACGTGGTTCGGCAAACTTGCCTACGTCCACGGGAGAGGTTTTCACTATGAGGAGAATACCAAACTATTACAAGCTCTCTCTTCCTCACTCTTTTCTTTTCCTCTCAAGTTTCTTACTCACTTAAGAATTTCCCACTTATTTTTCCTCACACTCTTCCTCTTCTCCTTACCTCTATTTATAGGCAAGAGGAGAAAAGAACCAAGAGAGCACGGAGCTCAAGGGAACACGGAGCTCAAGGGTGCACGGAGCTCAAAGAAGCACGGGGCTTAAGGGATTTTCTTATTCTAATTTTTGTTTCTAGAAGTGCTATGAAAGGTAAGTGATACTAAGATATGAAAAGGTTTACCAAATGTTGTTTAGAGGACTTATTGAGCCCCCTAACATTCCATAAAGAAAGATTCTTCTTTAATTCATCCTCCCCCTATCTATTGTAGAGGGATCAATGTTCATTGAGTCCAGATTCCTACTACGAATTTGAATCCAGGGATTTTCAGCTAGAGTGCTCTTATAACTTAGTCTCTCCTTCAACTTCAAGGATGTATATGTTATATTTGGTTGATTGAATCAAATAAAAATCTTGTCTTCTTCTTGGTAATTTTGCTCATTATATCATGTGCTTAATTGTTGTTCCTCATAATGTGGGGTGATGAAAATTGAGGAGCTGGCCACTCCTAATAAGATGTTCATTATGTCCTGTGTATGATATATTGAACATTGCAAGTCATCAAATATACCTTAATGTGGAAACCTGTAACCACTAAAGAGCTTGTCCACATATATAAATATTGGACTGGGTGGAAAATTTTTAAGTTTAAATGAAATGGTAAGTGATATGGCTTGCATAAGATTCTATAGGAGAGTTACATAGGGATCCAACAGAGAAGCAACTAATGTCCTGAAGTCTTCATATAAGGACATCCGTTTGGTTATTAACAATGGAGATTGAGGAGTCTATGAAAAAAGGGCAGTCTGGAACAGGTAACTCCTGCTATGCGCGGGATCTGAGAAGGGGTCTAACCACTTCGAATCTATCGTATGCAGCCTTACCTTGCATTTCTACTAGAGGTCGTTTCCACGGCTCAAATCTGAAACCCCAATGCTAACTGTAACCCCAATGCTCCCCTTATGGATTGAGGAGATGGAAGAGTCCATCAAGTTATAGAAAATTTTGAGATGGTTCTCCCCTTATGGATTTTGAGCAGATTGAGGAGTCCGTGAAGTAGTAGAAAATTTCGAGATGGACTGAAAAGCTAATGAAGTATAACTTCATGCAAATATTAAATAGAGAGGACTTCAAAGTCCAAGTTATCTCTATCTATTCACACTGACATTGGCAAAATGGAAGATGGACACTGAGATATCAGAAATCCATTGAAGATAATGTCCTCCATTAAGATGAGAGAAGTCCCCAGGCATGCTGCATTTTCCTCTTCGCACATGGAAATGGAGCATGCACATTCTGTTTCATTCAAGAGAGAGAAAAGGAGACCAGACCTTACAAAACATGTCAATACATGGATCATAAGATAATCAATACACAAATTCTTTGTCACCGAGATACAAAGTAGCAACACCAGCACGTACAAAACCACCACCACCCCGAGCTCTGTGGCTCCAGAGAGCAAAGAATGATGAATTAAACAACTCTCCAAAACTTTGCAAGCAAATCACTTAGTTTAATTCGCTTGTTTATACGATTCTGTAGCCTCAGTCCACTCCTTTCGGCAGCAAATAGGTCAACAGTTCTCGTGTAAGTGATATTTGATGTTGTATAGATATCTCATCGTCGAGCAGTATCTGTTTCATATATATATAACCATGTTAGAAAACTTAAAGAAAAAACAGAAAAAAAATAACATGGAAAATACTTTCATGACTAGGATGTCTTAGAACTGTAGACCACTTGGTTTTGTTAATTATCATCATCATAAGTATATGCCATAATTGATTTTCCATGCATTATCTTACAGAATGTCTGACATAAAAAATTCCTTACTATATCAGCATGAAGTCAGTAATTGAGCGCTATGACAAGACAAAAGAGGAGCACCAGCAACTGCTAAATGTGAATTCAGAGGTTAAGGTATGTTTACATATTTAAAGAAAAATATACATATTCAACACTGATCAGGCATCTTAACGTTGGCAATTGCAAGCATGCTGAACAAATAAATTATCTTGAAAAATTAGTAGATATAATACGAGTACATATACAACTTATGTCACACAAATAATCGCATCTTCATGGAGTATCAGCTAAGTTGTATGTATTATGTATATTACGACTTTCTTTGCTCGTCTTCAATCTGTGTTGGTGGACATAGTGTGTGCATATTCTTGTTTTGTTTAATTTTATTTTCTTTTTCCCCTCTTTATATTTCTTTTGGGTGAAGGACGAAAAAAAATTGGAGAGGAAAAGAGTATGGTAACATGCATACAAATATGTTACAAAAGGAACATATTAGTTTTCTACAAGGAAAATACAGTCCGGGAATTTATATGCTGCCTCCTAAGAAAGTTCAGGTGAAAAATCCAATGGGCTGCAATAACATTACTAAGAGGATGCTTGGCAAGTCGTCAAGTGGCTTATAAGGCACAAAAGTGGATTATAAGCCACATTTGAGATGCTTGGCAAGTGACTTATTTTAGCTTATGATTTACCAAAAAATAAGATGGGCCACAAGATTTGACCGTGTAAAAGGCGTATATTACCCACATCATTTCACAATATTCAAATCCCCAATCTCAGTCCAACCAATTGTGCTTAAATTTAGAGTTGTCCTTTTTGGCCATTTTGACAATAATGATAGATTATAATCCACCAACTTACAAAACACCCTACTATTAAAAATAGATTATAATCCACTAAATTTACCACAAATTCTGGATCATAATCCACTTAGATTATAATCATCTGGAAATTATAATCCAAAGTTTCCAAACATGCCCTTAGAGGAAAAATTGAAAGTTGTCTTGGAACCAAAAAGGGAACAAAAAGGCCTTCAAGAGTATGGGGAAAAAGAATGGGGAGTAATATTTCTAGTCTCATATGACACGAAATGATATTCGGCCTTCAAGACTTTTTGGCAAGGGTATTACCCAATGTCGCAAGAGTCTTTAGCAAGTAATAGAATTCTGAAGGAAAAGGACTTTTCCAATACTTACAGTAGGGTGACAGAGCATCCAAAGGTTGATGCGATGCAAGTTGGGGAACATAGGATGTATGTAATTGGTAAATCATAAGATGAAGAAGCTGCAATAACAAACATCTATAAGATAATTGTTATTAGAGATAGAACATGTCTTTGGGGTGCTTGATATGCTGAATATTAAGCCAATAACTGGGGCATAGAAATTGAAGACACATGATAGTACTCTAAGGCCACAAGAAAACAATAAAAATCATATGCTGACTAATTTCTTATCAATGAAACAGCAGACGAGTGAATAATTTTTTGAAGAGTTGATCACTACAATAAAAAATGTATGTATCCACACTTATTTTATAACACATATAAAAGTATCATTTTATTTATAAAGGATTAAACAATAATGACACAAGTAAAAAGTATAGCAAATCAAGGCACATATTTGTGTCATTAAATATACAATTAAATATAATTATAAAAGGCTAATAACCCAACATAGATTCTGAGAAGATTTATTAATATGCTTAAATAATAAATCTTAGATTTTAATTATGATGATGATTACAGATTTATGATAGTGTATAAGCCAAAAAAACTCCATAGTTAAGTGTGCTTTGATGAGAGTAATTCTAGAATAGTTAACCTTCTGGGAAGTAATAGTGTTGAATGATGATACTCTTTATATTTTTATGGTCTAGATATAACTATGTGTCATCACTCTCGACATATATATGTGTCGTAAGTTTTGTGACGCATTCTCACATGTATAGAAAAACGCTCTCCACACATATTCTAACCACACTTTTGATATGTGTCGCGCTCTATTTGTGCGACATAAAAATGTGTTGCGTAAATACAAAAAAATGTATCATAATTTATAACTTTTTTTTGTAGTGAATGATAACACAGTAGCTAAATAAATTAAAGCATTTCTACTATGATTAATAATCTAATCTCTCTTGTACAAACACATGCATGCCTAGAAATCTTTTCATTCTATAGCAGCCCAATTTTGTGAGGTAGCGGGAGAAATGATGCCTAAAGAGAAACTAAAGAAACCATCTTAGTCTTGAAATTTACTCTCAGCATCCATTTACTAAAAAAAGCACTCTAAAGATTGTGGCCTAAATAACTCAAAGGGTCAACAGTTTCCAACACAAACTCTCCTTTCTCTTGCTAGTTATCTTTTCTAGCACAGTATCCTCTACTGTCTGCAAAAATGTAATATGATGAATCAGCTGCAATCTTATAGGCATTATCAAGCATGTCCTGAATGAATCAAACATGTTGAAGTTCGTGTTTACATTCTTTAAAATGCAATTGCGGAAAGGAAGATTTTTCTCTGTTGAAAGTTCACGAAGACTCTTAACGGACATAAATCTCATATGATTAGATGTCCTTCAAGTAGCATTAATAGGAACCGAGATATCCAATAATTTGCTTTATGCAAATAATTAGTTTTTCTCTCCTTTTTCATTGTATAATTTTTATTTTTAGTGAGGATACTGGTTAAGCAATACTCTTGCAAGCTTAGCTTTGAACGGGCAGCTAGAATCAAATATAAATTGGCTTGGGCAAAGAAATCTTGCTAGCTATAGGGTTGTTATAAATAAAGCATTGTGTGGGGAAGGGATAGTAAAGAGCTTGAGAGAAAAATGTTTTCACAGTTGATTTCAAAATTGGAGTCTCGCTTTTAAAAACTTTCACTGAGACACTCAGTATGGGATGGGAAAAGACCATTTCCTCCTCTGTCTTGGCTTGGGACAAATAGGGGTGTGTGTGTCTATATATACACACACACAATAACAACAACCAAGCCTTTATCCCAAATGTTTGGGGTCGACTACATGAATCTTATTTTTCCATTCCATTCTGTTACGGGTCATTTTCTCCGTTACGTTAGTCTTAATCATATCATTCTTAATTGCTTCTGACCAAGTCATTCTAGGTCAACCTCTAAATCTCCTAGCCCTATTAACTCTAATATTATCATTTTCCTAATCGGTGCACTAAGAGGTCTCCTTTGTACATGATCAAACCATCTTAATCTATTATCTCTTATATTATACTCAATAGGCACAACCTCTAATTTACTATAGATGCACTCATTTCTTATCCTTCTTTTAATGGATACCAATAAGACCATCGTAACATTCTTATTTCTGCTATACTCATTTTTTAAACATATTATTTTTTTAATTACCCAATATTCTGACCCATAAAACATAGTTGGTCTTATAACTGTCCTATAAATTTTTTTCTTTAGTTTTCATTGGTATTCTACGATCACATAAGACTCCCGAAGCACTCCTCCATTTTAACCATCCCGATTTAATTCAATACACAACATCATCATTTATCTCACTATCATGCCTAATGATCTAAATAGCGAAAATGATTAGTTTTAGATATTTTTTGACCATCAATATGTACCATAGGCTCTCTTTCTTTCTTACTTTTACTAAAAATACATTTCATATATTCTGTTTTTGTTCTACTAATTCTAAAATCTTTAGACTCAAGAGCTTGTCTCCATCTTTCTACTTTAGAAATAATACCTCTTCTAGTTTCATCAACTAATACTATATCATCAGCAAATAATATACACCATAGAATTTTATCCTGAATGTGCTTAGTAAGTTGGTCCATAACTAATAAAAAAAGATAAGGATTTAAAGCTGACCCTTAGTGTAAACCTATGGTAATAGGAAATGATTTAGTCTCTCATTCATTAGTTTTTACTCTAGTTGTTACTTTATCATATATATCTTTAATCACATTAATATATATACTAGATACATATTTTTTTTCTAACACCCACCACATTACCTCCTTAGGTACTCTATCATAGGCTTTTTCTAGATCGATAAAAATCATATGTAGATTCTTTCTCTTCTCTCTATATCTCTTAATTAACGTCTCAAAATATGTATAGGTTCCATAGTTGACCTCCAAGGTATAAAACCAAATTGATTTTAGATATACATATCTCTTTTCTTAGTCTTTGCTCAATTACCCTCCCAAAGTTTTATAGTATGACTCATGAGTTTTATACCTCGATAATTTGACCATTTATTCTTATATATCAGTATCAAAATACTAATCCTCCACTAATCCGTCATTCTTTTCATCTCGATAATCTTATTAAATAATTTAGTTAACTATCCTAAGCTTATATCTCCAAGATTTTTTTAAACTTCAACAGGGATATCGTTCAGTCCTATGGCTCGTCCATTTTTTATTTTCTTTAGAGCATCTTTAACCTCGCTAATCCTAATTTTACGATAATATCTACAGTTCTTATCATTCACTATATGGTCAAAATCTCTATTTTGCTCACTTATTTGATTACTAGTAAACAATTGATAAAAGTAACCCATCCACCTCTTTTTTATTTTCCTGTTGGTCACTAGAACTCTATGATCCTCACTTTTAATACACCTAATATTACCCAAAATCTCTACTCTTCCTTTCTCTAATCTTAGCAAGCTTATATATATCTTTCTCTCCCTCCTTAGATTCTAACTTCTTATAAAAAATTTCATAACCTTTGTATTTATTCTCACTAATCACTCTTTCTACTTCCTTACTAATTTATATTTTTCTAAGTTTTTCTACTCTTACACTTTTACTACTCTTTATATAAAGTTTTCTTCTCTCCAATAACCTTTTGCACACCCTCATTCCACCACAAACTCTCCTTACCGTCTAATCTACAACCTTTAGATTCTTCTAGTATATCTTTAACCACTTTCCTAATACAAGAAGACATGTTATTCTACATAATATTAGTCTCATTATCTATGTTTTATATATCTCTTTTCATTATCTTATCTTTAAAATTGTTATGGTGTTCCCATTTGCCAAAAAGCAACTCATTATTAAGCAACAGACAGATGTACTGCATGCTATGTCCCAATCAAGTTGGTGATCAGAAACCAGTAGAGACGACAACTCAGCCGACTTGTCGAGTTGAAATTCCCTCATGTCGAAACGAAAGTCGGCACTTGTCGCCTCCTTTTGTCGAAACGACCCACCATGAGCTCACTCGACCATTTGCTGAATGTCTCGTGAGGACGACTCGAAATTCGTTACTTCTTGGAGAAGTTAAAGGATAACTTCTGCCTCGAGCCTATCCTACTGGCAACGTGTCTGCATCGCATTTGTATGATAGGCGCATCATGCCTCTGGCCCCGATAGCCTTCATGACTCATCAGACCATATAGACATCACCATGCCACCAATCACTTCCTATTTAATGCTGAGCTGATCGCTCATCCAGTTGCCAGCCGGTACCTGTAAAGTAGGTGCTGACTCAATCGCCATCCCACACTTTACCACCGCCATCCTGTGCTCGGCCAAAGTGACTGATTTACTCTTATACCCTTGGTATAAATGAATGTACTATTCTATCTTTGCAGGGGGATTGGATTTGATCAAAAACAGGATCTTGATTTGAATCTTAATCTGATCTTTAAGCAAGCATACTGCACATACAAGAATTCTCACAGTTCTTTATTTTTCCTAATTCAAAATCACCAACTAACTTGATCGTCGGAGGAACTATGGGGGAACTAAGCCCCGTCCTCTCACGAGTTTCTACTTGTACAGGCTTCAGCCACTTAACTCAAGAACTGGATATAAAGTCGGAGAAGAAAGCGGCGTCTCATCAATACTCAACAACCCCATCCAACCACGGATACAATTAACTGTGTGATCACTAGTACATCAACAAAAATGTATTAAATGCTCTTTTAAAATGTATTTAGTCTATATTATATATATATATATATATATATATTATTATATATATATATATATATATATAATATATATATATGAGAAAATAGTATGTCTTGGTACCCTAAGCCACAAATTTCTCCGTGCTGGTAATAAGGTGTCTCATTCTCATCCACTCATTTCAATATGGTGACATTTATCCCATGCAATCTCTCCAACCTATGTGAATATAATCCCCTATTTGAATGAGTGGAGGAGAATATGTCACCTCACTACTAAGAAAAAAATTATGGCTTGGTACCAAGCCATACTTATATATATATATATAGAAAAAAATTTATGCTTGGTACCAAGCTACTTTTATACTATATATACATATATATATATATATATATATATATATATATATATGAAAAATATAGGAACTTGGTATGTCCATTCCCATCCACTCCACAACCCATGTGAATGTGGTTCCTCATTTGAATAAGCGGAGGAGAAAGTGCCACATCACAACCAAGCACAAAAACTTGTGCTTATTACCAAGTTCCTCTATATTGCTATACACACTCACTCACTCTTTGGGGAAAGGCCTAAGCCTTAATTTATCGATAATAAAGAAAACTAATGTTTACAGAGATATATAAATAAGAAGGTAGGGATGGATGAAAACAACATAGAAATTTGTGTAAGGTCATCTACTACGATGTAGCGGCATGCAGTTGATCAAGCTATAACTCCACTAAACGCGAAGCACTCCTCGGGATATCTTCTTATGTCTGCCTCTTTGAGTTGAAAACACCCCCGTTACAATCTTTCCGAAGGAACCAACAACTTGCAATGCCTGTATTATCCCAATCATTTCTTCTATTAGTGGGAACTGTGTTCAAACGGCAAGAACTGCAAGCTCCTTTTGAAATTGGCTAGGATGTGAGATTGAATTTCATTTTGAAGTAGGCCCAAACTGAGAGGTTAAAGCGACATTCAAGAAATAGATGTTGTGGGGTCTCCAACGCAGCTCTACGAAGGACACAATTGATGTTTGATCCTATAGTCTGTTTTAGAAGATTGTGGGTAGGGTAATAACAAGGCAATAAGCACAACACTGGAAGAGTTATCCCTAAACGTAAGAGAAATCAGCATACTAGTCAAATCGCTAGCGCAAGCTTAGCACTTCGAAGAGATTACAAATGTAAATGCTAAAGCTGGAAACAACTCTGTGCTGCAAGTGCAATTTTCAACAGCTGCGAAGACTATCAAATGAAGGTTTTCCTTTCTGGAATCATTCAAAGAAAACACAAAATGAAACAGCATAAGCATGTAAGCCTGTGTCTTCCTTGATAGCAATTTCTCTAAGCTCAGAACTAGCAGCACAGAGAGGTGTCTATGAAACAATATTCCAAAAAGGACGATATGAGGATTTAACATGTTTAGTACATGGTCTCAGAGAGGACATAGGTCTATAACTTCACATGTCAAATTATGGATTTCACCAGATTTCCGTATAAATTGCACCATCATCAAATTATATACAGCTGATTGAGAGTTCGTGCTAGTTGATGAGAATTTTTTATGTTGTAGTCATACTGAGTTCAGTGCAGGAAGATTTGAGAGCTCTGAGTTGGACAAGCAACTATAAAGAATCTGAAATGCAGAACCATCAAGGGTATGACACAAGTTAAGTTCAGAGAGGATATGGGTCGATAGCTTTCTGCAGTTGATTTTCATAACTGAACCTGCATCAAATTATGTACAGATGGTTACTAATGTGCAAAAAGGAGTTACTGCCAGTAGATTGAAGCTTTCCCTGGTTATTCTCATCAACCGCAGAATTACCAAAGAGCAGAGAAATCTGTGCATGGTTAGAAGGACTATTGATTCTAGAACTTGAAATGAAGAAACCATCAAGGGTATGTTAAAAGATACTGGATAATATCAATATCCTTGAGTGCTAAATTTATTGTCAATTCGCTCACAAAGTCATAATGAATATCTCCTGCAAGCATATCTGAAGTGCAACCTCATGTGCCTTTGAACTCAACAATCAGCTTCATCTAGGTAGGTTTCCCTCATATATCAATAAATATTTGATCTCTTTCAAAATCAGGAAGTAGGACATCTCATATGCAATTCAAATACAATGAATATGCCCAAGGATGGCATTACAATGACAAATGAATAGTCAAATCCTTCTACATGAAATTCTAGACCAAGTGGTTAACAGACGAAATATCCAATTCTCATCTGAACATAATGTTCAAATTTGGTTGGATCAGATTTTTCTTAAATGTAGAAAGTAGATTTATCATCATTCTGACTAGTAGTTTTGCACTAATAGTGCAGGGACCAGTATTAAGTGCTCCACTCAACCACCACCCCCCCCCCCCCCCCCCCAACCCAAACACACACACACATTATACAAATTTGAATTCGGGGTAATTCATCGTGGAGATGTGTTAGCTCCTGCTTTTATGATGTAGCATAAATTCCTCCAGTTCAAAACTTTTTAAATACACATGCCTACCAATTATTTGGAATAACCATAAATGATGAAGTGTCTTATTTCAAACTTTTCTATCAATTAATGCTTAGGTTCCATTCAAGTATGTGCACATATTAGCCTGGTATTTAGTAAAATAAAACTACTAATTCTTAGGAAAAGGCTAATGATTTACCTACTGTAGATTTGCTTTAATTATTTTCCACCTTTGATCCCTTGCCCAGCAACCCTGCACTGTCACCAGAAAGAAGATTAAAATTCCAAACACATACATTTTCTTCAAAATTTTTAGCCTATGTTTATACTATTCCATACTCATAATTCATGCCTAAACACATGCATAATAAAATGTAATTTGTAAAGGTAGTCATGCATTTTAAACATTGATTTCTGAAAGAAAGATATAAAAAGCCAATGCTAAATTCTCAGAATGGTAAATTTGGATGGATAGGTTGCATCCAGTCGCCTGAACCTTGTGAAAGGGTAGACTTTCTAAGAGGTTGTTCTATTTGTGCCGTCCAACTTAAAAGGCCCACTAAAATAGCAATGACGGACGGGAAACTTATAGAACTACCTTTTAAATTTCACAAAACTAAAATGAACTTTGTGGTTTTTGAGCAAAATAACCATTAAGCTTTTTTATTAGAAGAAGAACTATGAATTTTTAAGGGAAAATTGTCTCCATCCTTCGGATTTTACAAAACATTATTCATGATAGCCCACTTATTTTCCCAAGTTGGGAACTGGAGAAAGTCTAGATGAGCGTATAAGGTGGGTCACGGAAATAAGTACAACAATGGCTAGTCATTTTTTACCGTGGTTTAAGCCAAACAATGTGTTGCACTCAATGGATCTTAGAGTTTCCATATCGACGGTCTTTTGGGACCAGGACATCACAAATAATATCAAAGCCAGCCAGCCGAAAGAGGGAAATAAGTGATTGGGGGAACAAGTGCTACATCATTTGAGCATAGTGGGAACAACCTCCAAAACTGTAGGGGCTATCAAGAATCTACATCACCTAGTAGTGATCCTAGAATGGACCACTATCATACTGCGACGAGGACCTCGCATATCTGAGATGGGATATTTGTGATAGTCTATTTGTTTTCCTAACATTTAGAACTTACAAAATAAGGATGATTTGTAGGTAGGTCATGGGAATCAGCTGCAATAGTGGCTAGTCATTTTTGCAGGTGGTTTGAACCAAATAACGTGTTGAACTTAGTGGGTAAAGGAGCTTTCTTAGTGCCAATGAGCTTGCAGTCTTTGGACATAACATGCTTCGTCCCCCAAGAATTTTATTTTCATGCTTCCACTCAAAACATGAAAATTCATATGCATTTTTCTAAAAACTCCTAAACTATTGTCTTTTTCCTCTTCATTCTCTCTTTTCTCTTTGATTGCTCCCATGAGCTCATGAACATATTCCATTCGTAATTACCACCTCCTATCTCCTCACCTTCCCCTCTGCTAGGAGTGTCCGTTTGGGCTTCGGCCAAGACCTAGACCGGGCCCAGGAAAAGCCCAGACAAACCGGGCTGACCGAGCTTCAGACACGAATCCGGGTTGTATTGGTGAAGCTAGCCTCTTAGTTCTAAGTGTATATAGTTGTATATTTTTAAGTACGAAACTATACATATGTACAACTATATTTATATACTTGTAAGTATACAAGTATATTATATTGTATACTTTTATGTATATTCTTACCATGGTATAGATACTAAGATATAAGTATATATGATGTAGTTATAAGTATACTTATATGTGTATATTATAGACTTATAGTTGTATAAGTATATTTTATATAAGTACATAAGTATGATTAGATATAAGTATATTGCATCTAGTACATGTAAGTATATCATACAAGTAAAGTATATAACTATGCTTTAATACACATATTATAAGAATCTAACAAATACATATATAACTATATAATACATATTTATAAGTAATATATATTTATGTGATTCTCTCTCTAAGTATATAGTACATAAGTATGAGTATATATAAGTATATTGCATCTAGGACATGTAAGTATATCATATAAGTATATAACTATACTTTAATAAGCATATTATAAGCATCTAACAAATACATATATAACTATATAATATATATTTATAAGTAAGTAATATATACTTATGTGATTCTCTCTCTCTCTCAAGCTATAACTTATAAGTATATATTGTATACTTACATATGATATATGTATATATAAAATATAGCTATATACTAATATGTAGTATATACTAATACACACTTTTATAAATATAATAAGATTAATCTAAATTTTTAATAATTTTTTGCAATAAAATAAAATAAATAAATAAATAAATAATTCGAGCCGGCCGATTTGGTTTGGACCTGGGCCTAGACCGGGGTACCCTAGGCGTCTGGTCCGCGGCTAGGCGTTTTGCCTGGTCCGGACCCAAAACTCTGGGCCAGACGGGGACGACCCGTTTGGACAAGCCTACCCTCTGCCTCCTACAACCTCCCTTCACCGCTGCCTCCCTCTGGCCCCATTGGAGTCGATGTGATAGGGTCTGACAAAAGGCAGAGATGAAGAGAGGTGACAGTCAAGAATGACGGGCGGTGACAGACAACAAGTGAAAATCTAGTGATGAGACGGAAGGAGGTGGTGGTTGAGGAAATAGAAGAGAAAATTTTGATAAAAAATAACATAAAACAAATAAGGATATCATTAAATAATGAAAAGTAACAAAATGCATTAAATAATAAAAAGTAACGAATATGAATAAAGGTAACAAAAAATAAAGGTATTAATAAAATAAAATAAAAACAAATAAGGATATCATTAAATAATAAAAAGTAACGAAATACATTAAATCATGAAAAGTAATGAATATGAATAAAGGTATCAATAAAATTAAATAAATAAATGTAATAAGAATCATGAACAAATTTAAAAGAAAGAAAGGTAACAAGATTTGAACAAATTTAACAAGAATCATGACAATTACCGGTAGACGGTCAAAAAATATGAACCATTCAACAAGATCATCTAAAGACAAGTATAGGACCCACTAAGGGCATTTTGGTCATTTGACATGACTAAAGGACTCAACAAAATCAAAAAAGTCCACAAACTTGGCTAAATGATAAGCGATCCTAAAATCCTAAGTCAAACATGCTGAAATCAACTTAACATAAAATTGTCTAAAGAATAGGTTATCCCAAAATCCTAAGTCAAACAGTCTGAGATCAACTTAAAAAGGCACGATATGGGTGTGAGCTTAACTCCACGTGAGCTTAGCCTCGTGTGTCTCAACCCCGTGTGAGGTTCATAAGGATGACAGATCAATGATGGTGACCTCCATCAGATGTTAGATCACTAAATCCCTATATTAAATGCTAAAGATTCAGAAGTACAATGCGCATGGATGCAACCTTGCGTGACTTAGAACAATCCAAAATCTGCTGACTTTTGTTACCCCGCATGACCATGCGAGGTTGATAAAGTTGTTGCGCCTAACACCATTTTGAGCACTTCACATATTTTGAGTTGTAAAGTGTATTGCTAATCACATCACTGTAGGTGTCAAAAAATGCTTACGGACATCCAAATACTGCTCAAGACAAAGAGAAGACGATAAACGCTATTTTCTTAGTCAGAGGGGATCATTCAAATGAAGCGAAACAATATGGAAGAACAATATACACACCAACAGGCAGTCCAGGGTGACGCGCCTTAGGCGCGGCAGAACATGGTGATGCGGCTAAGGCGCGACAGAATATGGTGGCGCGGCTAAGGCGCGACAGCCTATGGTGACGCGCCTATGGCGCGCCAGTACATAGTGGCGCGGCTATTACAGGGAGCTGCCACGGCGGTTAAAAAAGACAGTTATACGATGATTCTCAAAGCTCACGTGGCGGCATATCAGAAAAAGAACGTATGCTGACGTGGACAAGCAGTTAAACCACGAAAAAAATGGTTAAAAATCGTGGGAGAACAGTTTCAAGCACGATGTGACGTGGTTATAACCGCTCCTTTGGCCGCGGCAGTCCACACTGACGCACCAATAGCCGCGGCAGTGTTGACTAGCGCGACCAAAGAGAGGCCGCGGCAGTCCACACTGACGCACCAATAGCCGCGGCAGTGTTGACTAGCGCGACCAAAGAGATGTCATGTGGTCAGTTATTTCATCCCCGTTTCCACTGTTGTGCACTCCTACCCCTATAAATACCTCCCTAGACAGGGAGCCAAGCACAGGGAGAGCAGATTGGAGCATAGAGACTTGAGCTTTTGGTGAATTAGAGCAAGAGAGAGAGTCTTGCTTCTTCACAAATATCCTCAAGAAGCTTTTGGCGATTCCTAGAGATCTAAGCTCTGACTTGATCTTTAGAAGAGTGAACATCTTACATCGATAAGATATTCGTTTTAAATTCTTACTTCGATAAATGAAGGAAGAATTCCCAAAACCTTCACGATTCAATCAGAATCTGTGAATCGGTGGTCCACGAGCCAACGCACTCCCGGCACAGGCAAAGTCCCACAAAACAGGAGTCGATAAACGATTTCTGTGTTATTTTCTCGAGAATTATAATTTTCTTATTTTTCATTGTAATTCTCTGTAAACAATCGAAGTTTAATGGAATTATCAATGAAACCAATTTTCGACGAAAACAATCACGTTAAATGCTCAGCTAATCCCATGTTGCCAAACCCTGCGTGGAGCACAAATTTCAACCTATAAATAGCCCTCCTTTCACTAATATTTTACTCTCTCATCTCCTTGGTTCAGCTCACATTCAGGTTCTGCCCCCCCGGGGGGTAGGATAGCCTCACGCCACGATTGCTGGTGATGGGTTAGCCCCACGCTACTTGCCAAACTCTTGTGATCCAACAATTCTTAACCTCTAAGCACTTGGTTTTCAATCTCGTGTTGGCATCCTCTCATCTTGCCTCAAAAGCTCGTTTCTTTAGCTTGTCAAAGAGGCAAGCCCTCCCTAGCGAGTTGAGTTTCGCAAAACGGCTCACTTTAACTCCAAATTCAATGACAAAGAACAACTTCAACAACATTGATGTCCTCGTGGTCAACAGAGCCAAGAATCTAGTCTCTTTGGGCACACTTTCCTAGAATCAAAACTTGCAATTTTAATTTATGAGTCAAAAAGTGAACAATTGCAATCTTTCAAATATATCAATAAATTGTGAACTTTTTGACCCAAAAACAGTATCCTTAACCAATGAATAGTAACAAGAAAAGAACAAAGATAAAAAAATGCCAAGCAATAGTGTCAATATACCCAGAAAGGTAAAAAACGAATAAGGTTATAAAATATAACATGAAATGTAAAAGGTAACAAGAAAACGTAAAAAGTTAATAAGAAAATGCAAAATAATGATCCTCTTTCTCTTCTTTCCTCGAGCACCACCTATCCTGCCTTCCTATCGACCTCTCCTTCGTCAACGCCCACTACCTCCCCGCCCTCTGCCTTGTCACTACCTCTTTGTCGCCTCCTGCTGCCTACTACTGGGAGGTGGTGATTAAAGGTGGAATAAGTTCATAGAAGAATGAAAGAAAAAGAGAGAACAAAGAGGTTTAAGACGTTGATAGTTTAGAAATTCATATGGGGACACAAAGGGGTGGCCGTGTGTAACTCTTTGGGTCAGGGGTGGGAGTACATTTTTTTTCAAAGGGGAGGACTAGGAAACATGATTTCTTGTGTCAAGGGGGTTGGAGACAATTTTCCCACTTTCTAAACTAAACTACCATGCCTGACGACGATTAGGGTGAGTTGTCACGTGCTTTGATCAGGACATGATTTGGAAAATTTTGCCCTTATGTACTTTATATATTTTATATATTACCCTTTCCCATTCTCCTATTTACAAGGGCGGATTAGACACCTTATCCAAACCATTAATAGCTTCAGCAACAATTTCAATAGTTCATGTTATTTTCTGCATTGTAAGTTCATGAAAGTTTTCTCTATAAAAACGTTTATGGTAAAATATTCTGCCTTTCCATACGAGTCATATTTAAGCTTTGAGGTTTTTCTACAGACCATAGCCCATGAGGAGTACTAAATGCAGAGTTCTCTTTGTATACATTTCAAGACCATAACCTGTGGTTTAAAATTTTCGATATGGTTGTGTATCTAGCATTGTGAAACATGAATTTCCTAGTACTATTCCAAAGCCTAATCAGAGACCCTTTTTCCAGAATGTTCTTAACAAAGATGATGCCGATCTTAAACTCTACTTTTCTTACCAGTTTTGGCAGAAGGAGGCAGCGAGCTTGAGGCAGCAATTACATAGCTTGCAAGAAAATCACAGGTACCATTTTTATGCGTATAACAGCAATTACCTGCTATAGCCATTGGTGTTAATTTATAGTAGATTGCATATAAGATATTATTCAATGTAAAACAAGACAGAAAGACTAATGTAAGAGTCTTTATACAGATAGGAAATGATACCTTAAAGTGAACAAATCAATTACTGATAAAATATATGAAAACAGAAAGTTTCTAAACTTCAGCAACATAATATCTTTGACAAATAACAAGGACCCCATTCTGGAAAAATAAAAGACGTTGTAATCTAGCAATAACATCTTTTGCATTTGAAAAAGAATACCATAGTTAAGTTTTTTTTCCACCATATCAACAACAGCATGACCCATGATCATCAATACGCAAAAAGGAAAAGGAAAGCGTCTTGCTATTTGAGACTGAACTTGTTTCTTCGAAATGATTTAATCTCTCCATTTTAGGAGAAGCCAAAAGGATGAGAAAGATTCGATGCATGCAGATAAAAATGTATGTTCAACAATACCCACAAGAGAAACTCCTACAGAGCAATAAATTTATCCACGACAAGTAAATATACACACTAAAGGGTAACCCTAGTAGAGTCACAACTAATACAAGACAACTTGTCTTCAGACAGGTACATCAAACAAATCACATTTTTGCACATGTTATTAATGATTTCATTACCTTTCTGATGAAACATTTTTTTTCTCTAACAGAATTACCTGTTTTAATATTGTATCATGCACTTATGGCAAATAAATAGAAACCAAAGATAAGAGCCTTTGCCTTCTCTCCATTTGAATCAAAGAAGAATGGAACATGATATCGCATCAAGAAGAATAACAGGATTATAATTAACGTCCAGTAAGAAAACATTATATTAGTATGCATAGAACATTCAACTTTTAGGACCTATTATGTAGGAAATTGATGGGAGAGGAGCTTTCTGGCTTAAGTGTTAAAGATCTCCTAAATCTAGAGAACCAACTAGAGACGAGTCTGCATGGAGTCAGAGCACAAAAGGTACAAAGAAACTCTTGGTCACATTCAACCACAATTCATATCAACTTTTTTTTTCTTTTATGTTTAAATATGTATCCTTACCATTGCAGGAACAACTATTGACCAATGAAATCCAAGAACTGAATAGAAAGGTGCATAGCATGTTACATTTAATTTATTTTGAAGTTACATCTGATGTAATTGAAGATCTAAACTTCATACTTTTGTTGCAGGGTTACCTCATTCACCAAGAAAATATGGAACTCTACAAGAAGGTAGACCTTATGCGACAAGAAAACATGGAACTCCAACAGAAGGTACAGAACTATAAGCACAAACGTTCTAATATCAAAAAAACTGAAGATCTTATTTTAAGATAAATTCAGAGATCATGCTGTTCCAATCCACGATAAAATGAGAAATTGTTGATATCATATACTAAGCCAGAAATATCGATTATAGGTTTACGGATCAAGGGGACAAAACGGTACAGTTAACAGGGGAACAGTTATCCCCTGTGGCTTCAGCATCACTGAAGAATCACACGGTCCGGTTAACCTCGAACTTTGCCAGCCTCAGCATCAAACAGATGGAGAGCAATCAAATGTGCCAAAGTTAGGGTACTTATTTTTCCATATATCTAGTCTTTAAATACCTTTCACGCCTTAAATTTAATCTGAGGACATTTTTCTGTTTTGTTGCCGCAGACTCCAACTGCATTAACAAATGCTGAAATAATTCCGTCACAATTATGTCAATTGTATAAACAAGAGCAGGATCAATGCTCAGAGATTAGGTGTGGTGTGAATGACCAATAACCAATAATTGTGTGAGCCAAGTTCCAAAAAGGGGGGAAATGCCTAACATTTTGGATTCAAGAAAAAATATTATCATGCTCAGAAGATTTTTGCCATAGCTTGTTCTATTCCCATGAGAAAGGATCCGCGTGAACCGTATCAAAAATGTCTGGAAGCTGTTGTTGTTGTTGTTTTCATTGTTGTTCTTGTTGTATGGACCCTAACCAAAGTGACATAATTAAGTCCCTAATAAAAGTGAGCTTTCCTGATACATAGTCTATTGCTTGCATGAGAGAGTGGTTACTAGGAAATGCCCAACTGATCTTAGTTATATATGATGTGATATGGACGAGAACATCCAAAGTATACAAAGAGGATGTTAGGAGTGCCTCACATCCATTCACTTCGGGTGAGGATTTGATCTAGCAAAATGCATTAGATGGAATTTACTTCAACATTAGAAAAAATATTTAGAGAATATATGGTTAAATATTATTCGGCGCATGGCTCAAGCAGAATTTACCCCTTTGAATCAATTCGCATCCAAGTAGATTAGCTTAATCCATTTCCTTTCCTGGTAATTTGCAGCCCAACAAAAGATAAGACATACCAGGTCGTAAGAATCTGCCACTCGGGTCGAGGACTACAGAGCAGTAGACATTTCTAATAACAAAGTCCCGGTATCTCTGCTCTGATAAACCAAAATCATCTCCAAAACATGCATATTGGGACAAAGGGTGGGACAAAAAGTGGTGTATCCAGGACAAGAACCTGACATGGGGTATTTTCATTATCCAATGTAATGAAACAGCATGGAGCTTTCTTTTACCTCTACTAATTAAGCTAAGTTTACAATGAATCATAAACCCAGTAAGTTAATTGAATAGAATCAAAATCTGAGGACCAACATGCTAACCAAAACTATGGCCTTGAGCACTAAAAATCAGATCACTTCAGAAACTCTCTTTTATTGCCCTAAAGCCTGTCCTGACTGAATCCTTGCACATTTGATGATTTTCATAAAATATAATTCTCTCTTGGCTATAAATAGAAGGGAGGTTGAGAGGAGAAAGTGTGGGGAAAAATCAGAATTTGAGAGGAAAAGAAAGAGAGAGGAAGAGAGAACTTGTAATAGTTTGGTATTCTCCTCATAGTAAAACCCCCTCCCGTGGATGTAGGCAAGTTTGCCGAACCACGTAAATCTCGTGTCTGTATTGTCTTAACTGTGAGTTTGTCATTGCTTGTAGGTTCCCTCGACATTTCAGTCTTAGAACTGATGAGAGGAAGAGTGTATATTTTATTTTGATGAAATATTTTACTTTCTATTCTATTTTCCTTTGAGAAACAAGAATTTCACTATTTATTCTAGTTTTTTTTGAGAAACAAGAATATAGAGGTTGACTTATACTTTTGTGACAACAAAAGCCAGGTCTCTCTCTCAGGTGATATCGCTTCCGCGGTGTGAGCGTGTGACTCTGCGCCCAACAATTGGTATCAGAGCCCTTATTCAGATTGGCGGTGGTTGAGCTACTGATCTAAGGTGGTGGTTGACACAAGATATTTGTTGGAATTCCTGAGAGAAGCAGATTTATTTATACAAGCGGAGAATGGTGTCAATAAGTAAAACAGTTAAAGTTGGAAAGTACGAGATCGAAAAGTTCAATGGGAAGAATGATTTCTCCTATTGGAGGATGCAGATGAAAAACTCGTTGATTTCACAAAAGTTGCACAAAGCTTTGGCGAGAAAAGAGAAGAAGCATAAGGACATGTCTGATGAGGATTGGGAAGAGCTAGATTTGGAAACACGAACGTCGATTATCCTATGTCTTGAAAGGGATGTGGCTTTCTTGGTGGATGGAGAGGAAACAGCTGCGGGCGTGTGGTTAAAGTTAGAGAGCACCTTCATGACGAAGAGTCTAACAAACCGGATCTATTTAAAATTCAAATTGTGCACTTGCAAGATGGAGAAAGGCTCATCAATCCGGGAATACATCAACAAGTTCGATAGGATAATATCGGATTTAAAGGACATCGATGTGACTGTAGAAGACGAGGATCAGACGCTTCTACTACTTCTATCTCTGTCGAAGTCTTGTGATAACCTGGTGCAAACACTTATGATTGTAGGAGACAATTTGACGATGGATGAGACTAGAACGACGCTTCTAACGGATGACCTTCAGAAGATTGCAACCAGTGACATGATTACTGGTGGTAACAAAGAACAAGTGCAGGGATTGTTTGCTAGAGGAAGGAGCAATGAGCGAGGAAAAGGTAAGAGAGGAAAGTCTAGATCTAAATCGAGACCTCTTAAGGGAAGAACGTGCTTCAAATGCGGTAAAATTGGGCATTTCAAGGTCGGCTGTCTAAACAAGAGAGTAGGTGGGAAGAAGAACAACAACAAGACTGAGAGGAGAGAAGATAAGGAAGAAGTGAGCTATGCTTCAGAGGAAGGGAGCGATAAAGAATGCTATGTCGTCACGGGTGACGAGGATACTTTCGGAAAGTGGATACTTAATTCTGGTTGCTCTTACCACATGTATCCAAATAGAAAGTGGTTCACTACCTACAGGAGCATTGATGGTGGAACCGTATTGATGGGGAACAACCATGCTTGTAAAACGATGGGGCTCGGTGATATAAAAATCAAGATACATGATGGAGTGGTCAGAACCCTAACGGACGTACAGCACGTTCCTGATTTGCGGAAGAATCTTATCTCAGTGGGTGCATTGGACTCCGATAGCTGTAAGATTATTACAGAGAACGAAGTAAAGAAGGTTGTTCGAGGTTCCCTAACAGTGATGAAGGGTGTTCGTCACGGTAATCTATATACTCTCTCGGGTACGACGGTGACAGGAGATACAGCGGTTGGAACTGATAAAAGTGGTGGAGACCCATGTGAGCACACACGGTTATGACATAGGCGGCTTGGGCACATGTCAAAGAAGGGTCTGGATCTACTTGGTAAAGAGGGTTTACTAAAGAATCTGAAGAAGCCTTGTATGGATTTTTACGATGAATGTGTGTATGGAAAGGTGCACAGGGTCCAGTTCTTGAAAAGCAATCACAAGAGCAGAGGTATACTAGATTATGTGCACACGGATGTTTAGGGTCCGGCTTCGATAACTTCCAAGGGTGGTTCCAGGTATTTTGTCTCATTCATAGATGATCATTCGAGGTATGCTTGGATTTATTTTCTGAAGCATAAGAATGAGGTATTTGAGACATTTAAGAAGTGGAAGGTGATGGTTGAGAACAGGACAAGAAAGAAATTAAAAACATTAAGATCTGACAACGGTACAGAGTATACAGATAGTACCTTCAAGGAGTTCTGTGATCAGGAGGGGATTGCCAGACACTGGACAGTTAGATCTACATCATAGCAAAATGGGATCGTAAAAAGACTGAACCGAACACTGCGGGAGAAAGCAGTGAGTATGCGAACATATGCTGGTTTGGGCAAAGAATGGTGGGCAGAGTCAATTGCTACAGCTTGCTATATTGTGAATTGATCCCCACATTCTACATTGGATGGTGATACATCCTATCGGGTGTGATCAGGGGAGCATGCAGATTATGAGAGGTTCTGAATTTTCGGGTGTACCACCTACTATCACGTCAACGAGGGAAAGCTTGACGCGAGGGCCAAGAAGATAATTTTCTTGGGGTATGCAAAGGGTGTAAAAGGTTATCGTCTTTGGTGTACAGAAGATTCGAAGTTCGTGATCAGCAAGGACGTTATCTTTGATGAGAAGTCCATGATTGCTAAGGTGCCCAAGGATGATGATGTTGAGACTGTTAGGAATTCTAAATCCTAGGTTATTGAGATAGAACCTAAAGACTAACCAGGTTCTAGTCGTGTTCAAGTAGAAAGTCAGGTAGATGATGAACTTGAGCAGGAGAAGGTTCAGCAGGAGAATACACATAGCTTCCATTAGGTCAAGGTAAACATACAAGCAGGTACAGAAGTTGGGGGCTGATCAACCCCTGAAGCACTATGAGCAGGTTAATTTGGTTGAGTACGCACTCTCGATGGAGGAAGATGAGCCGGTCTCCTTCAAAGAAGCTATTCGGGATAGAGATAGTGAGAGTTGGTTGGCTGCGATGGAAGAGGAGATGGAATCTCTCCGGAAGAACCAAACATGGGAGGTGATTCCATTGCCCGTAGGAAAAAAAGCTATAGGTTGTAAGTGACTGTATAAAAGAAAAAAAGATCCTTCAGAGCTCGGTGGTACGAGGTACAAGGCGAGTCTAGTGGCTAAAGGGTTTGCATAAAGAGAGGGTGTGGATTACAATGAGATATTTTCTCCGGTGGTGAAACACACTTCTATTCGGGTGCTATTGAGTATTGTTGCTCATGGTGATCTTGAGCTAGAACAACTCGATGTTAAAACGGCCTTCTTGTACGGAGACTTGGATGAAGAGATCTACATGCATCAACCTGAGGGCTATAAGGTTGAGGATAAGGAGTATCATGTATGTCGCTTGAGAAAGTCACTCTATGGACTGAAACAATCTCCTCAGCAATGGTACAAGCGATTTGACTCCTTCATATTGAAGCATGAGTTTTTCCGAAGTGACTATGATTGTTGTGTTTATATTCGGAAGCTTCGTGGAGATGATTATATCTATCTCCTTTTATATGTGAATGCCATGCTTATTGCATTGAAGAATAAGGTGGAGATAGATAAGGTAAAATCTCAACTTAGCAAAGAGTTCGAGATGAAGGAGATGGACGCTGCAAGGAAAATACTGGGTATGAAGATTAGAAGAGAGCGATCGAATCGGCGATTGTTCTTGACTCAGAAGAGCTACATTGAACGGGTGATCGCGAGGTTCGGAATGCAAAGTGCTAAGCCGGTAGTGACTCCATTGGCTCCATATTTTAGGCTATCTGGTAAACAATCTCCCACCACAGCGAAAGATAAGACACACATGGAGCGTGTCCCTTACGCTAGTGCAGTTGGCAGCTTAATATACGCAATGGTGTGTACACGCCCTGATATTTCACAGGCGGTTAGTGCTGTCAGCAGATTCATGGCGAATCCGGTAAAGACGTACTGGGAAGCAGTGAAATAGGTTCTGAGGTACTTGAAAGGTACCGCGGATACGGGTCTGTGTTTTGGTGGAGATACATGTCAGATCGACGGGTTTGTGGACTCAGATTATGCGGGAGATCTAGATAGACGGCGATCTATTACTGGTTATGTATTCAGGATACATAGGGCTCCAGTTAGTTGGCGATCGATGTTACAGGCTACAGTTGTACTTTCTACTACAAAGGCTGAGTACATGATCATAACGGAGGGAGTGAAGGAAGCATTGTGGTTGTGGGGTCTTCTAGACGATTTGGAGATTGAGCAGGAGAGCGTGAACTTGTGCGACAGTTAAAGTGTAATTCACTTTGCGAAGAATCAAGTTCACCATGCTCGTACCAAGCATATCGACGTCAGATATCATTTTGTGCGGGATGTCATAGAGGAAGGTGATATTTCTCTCATGAAGGTGCACACGAATGAAATCCCGCAGACATGTTAACCAAAGTGGTGATAGGTAACAAGTTCCAGCATTATTTGGACTTGCTTCATATCAGCCCGTGTTGATTTGCCTAAGAGGGCATGGCCCTGCGGTGCGGTGATGGAGGTGTGATGGAGACTATGTTGGAGTATAGTTTCAAAACTACGGTTAGCTTGATCCCGGTAGAGGGTACGTAGGCAGCCGCGGTATAGTGGCGCAGCTGGTTTGGCCTGATTTTGGCCTGGATCTCTCTAATGATGTTCGTGAGATTTCTCCTGGTGTTCCTTCAAAATTTGAGGTTTATCAAATGATGAACGAGGTGGAGAATTGTGAGGAGGACAACGTGGGGGGAGGACAAACCCATGCTGGGAACATGGGGGGAACACTAGCACATGCTCCTATGTACACTAGTCCATGCTCATGCTCCTATGTACACTAGCCCATGCTCCTATGTCACTAGCCCTTGCTCCTTATCCGCTGCCTCTCTCTCTTGGCTATAAATAGAAGGGAGGTTGAGAGGAGAAAGTGTGCGGAAAAATCAGAATTTGAGAGGAAAAGAAAGAGAGAGGAAGAGAGAACTTGTAATAGTTTGGTATTCTCTTCATAGTAAAACCCCCTCCCATGGACGTAGACAAGTTTGCCGAATCACGTAAATCTCGTGTCTGTATTGTCTTAACTATGAGTTTGTCATTGCTTGTAGGTTCCCTTGACATTTCAGTCTTAGAACTGATAAGAGGAAAAGTGTATATTTCACTTTGATGAAATATTTCACTTTCTATTCTAGTTTCCTTTGAGAAACAAGAATTTCACTATTTATTTTAGTTTCCTTTGAGAAACAAGAATATGGAAGTTGACTTGTGTTTTTGTGATAACAAAAACCAGTGCCATCTCTCAAGTGATATCGCTTACGCGACGATGGACGTGACTCTACGCTCAACAATAATCTTTCTCCTCAAAAAAATTCATGGGAATTGTTCTTCACAGCAGAAACAAGTTTTTTAAAGACTGCAATTGTGCTTCAAGAGAGAATAGTTTAAATTGATCAAATAGAAAGAAAAAGCACATTAGTAGTCTAATAATGAAAAATAAACTTTAATCAAATTAATGGCACCACTGTGATTCTACCAATTACCAATCAGCCCGAAAGCAAATGCCCGAGAAGGAACTGCTAACCACGCTGATGCTCACTAGAATCTTATGCATGTTTACTAAATTAAAAATCAAAGTCATTGCAGAGTGTATGATGAATCTGTCACAGAAATTTAGATGGCATCAAACTAGGTCAAGATTATGTTAATTTTTTGGAAAATTATTCAATAGTCATTGTCCACAGGTTTGACTTTTTAACAGAAATAAGATTTTTGGATTATTGCACTAGTTCTCAAGTTATGCATCAACTGACCAATGGACAGGAATTACTAGAAAATCTCTCATATTTTGAGTCTATATACTTGCAATTAGTTCTAGGAAATGGACAAAAACAATAGTTTGTTCATTTTCAACTCAATAACCAGAATAAAATATCAACAGAAATCAGAAGCAGCAAAGTAGTTACACTTCAAATAACTAACAAGTATAATGAACATATTATATGTGTAATTAATCAAACGCAAATGGAAATGTCATTGTCATACAACTCTAGGGAAAAAAGAAAAAGAACAGAAAAAAAAGACAAAAGAGAGAGAGAGGGAAAAAACTGAATAAAAGAACAAAAGGTAGTCCACACATCCTACTCCCTTTTCCTCTTTATAAAACTGGTTGTATACTTGGCCCCTCTGCAAGTCATGATTTCTACCATCAACAACACTAATAACATCATATGGGTCTCATAAAGAAGAAAAAATAAAGAAAAGGCCCACAAAAACAGAAGGGCCATGGATTGCGGACTCGCATTTTGGTCTGCCTACTTTCAGTATATAAAAAGAATCAAGAGCTTCCTTTCATCCTGGCATGACTCAATTTTGTATATTTAACACCAAAATTTCAGCATTTTTTGAGTTTCTCACTAGCTTGGAATGATCTGTGTCATCTTGTGTCACATTCGATATAAGCTCACCAATCAATATCCACTTAAGCAATTTCTATCTAGCAAAACAAATGGGAATATGGTCAGCTGATATTTCTACTGATAAAGCTAAGATACAAAGGGCAGGCATTCAGGGTATATACAGAAGTAGATTTTGCGTTTTAAATGACATGGAATGCAAATTTTGCTAATGAGATGTCATGGTAATTAATCAGAATTATTTAGAAAAGTTTTTAATTGAAAATTTGTGCAACATTTAAGCTGTACTACTGAAGCTTGCACATAATCCTTATTTCTACATAAAAACATGCTTCAAGGGCACTAAGTTACCTTTGGTTCATGTTGAGTTCGATTTTTCTGAGATCCCGAAGATGCTGCAATATTTCTTGAAGAAGATCCATCCCTTTATCCCCTTTCTTTAACGATCTGATACAATCCTTAAGAAATTCTCTATCTGCCTCTAGAGCTTGTAGCCTCTGATATACATTGTCAACCTCTTGAGCGATTGCAAGTCTCTTCCCATCATCAACTACAAATTTAGAATTAGATTGTGAAGAACCATTTGATTCTCCATCTTCTCTCTCTGTATCGATAGTGGCATCAAAGAGAGGGAGGAGACTTTTTCCTCCTTTAATCATGGTCCTTGGTTCGTGATGAAGCTTTCCATTTGTATTTTGATCATGTTCAAAACTATTGACCAAATCACCATTTACATCATACTTATTCGAATAAATTTGATGTTCTGCAGATTTCAATTCATCGTCATCATCCATCGAAAATAATTCTTTCTCCAATACCTTGAGTTGTTCTAGTATGGAGAGCCTCTCTTCCTCAAGATCATCTACTGATTCATCAAGAGTACTCAAGTGCTTGGTACTATCATTCTCCAATACCTTCTTCTTATAAAACTCCAATTCCTTTTCTAATTCTTGATTCTCCTTTTCCTTCTTCATCATGAGTTCATTCAGAAGCTGCAAAGCTTCTTGATCAAATTCCGACTGTTCATCCATCATCCTTTGGCAGTGTAATACTTCCACCTTCATTGCTGCCTTTTCCTCTTGCAGCCTAGTGATCATTGCCATGGTTTCGTCAGCAGAAATTGCTGAAGCACTCCTCTCTTCTTCCAGTTCTGCATATAATGCACGTAGAGTCTTGCGTTCTGCTTTTAATGCATCTTTCAGATTATCGACGGTTAATACCTCGTTTTCATTAGTTTCACTTGAAATACTTTCAATTGAAGCAGGTGTCTCTGCCATTTTCTCCTCTTCAAACTCATTGAGTTCAGTACATATGAAAAGCCCGTTATTACTACTTGGAACAGTCTGTCTTATAGGTTCAGCTTCAATTACTGTGAATTCAAGTATATAAACTCTATTAAGAAACTAGAAAGGACATGAAATCTGATTTAATTGATTTAATGAGTATTATTGAGCTAATAGTACCTTGTTCCTTTTCAACTATGATAATGTTGCTTGAAGGGCCTTGATCATTCATGCAAACTGCCTGAGGAACTGCTAATTCATTGAAATGAGCCAAATTAGTCTTCTCTTTGTCGTCAATTTCACTGCTTATTGATATTTCACAGTTAAGATCAGCATCCATCACTCTACTATCCTCTTCAGAAGCTATATACATCAATCAATTACATAACTCAGAATATTTTAACAGAAAAATTAACAAATAAGCAAAGATATCAGGAGAAGATTAAACAGAAAATTACCTTGAACTTCACCAAAATCTTGAGACTTGGCTAATCTCTTCTCTTCCTCTTCAACTGTTCCAATATCCACAGCCATATCTTCATTCTCATCATGCTTATACCCAACATAGTCTCTCTCCTTCCCATTTCCTTGATAATGCACAATTTGACCATTTTTTTCGGTGCTCAAATTCGAAGAATCAATCAATTCAACAGGAACCCATCTTTCCTCTTCACTAAAAAACCTACCCTCCTCTCTCATCAAAGTAATAAATTCCAAGCATTCATCACCTACCATTTTCGAACTTTTATCACAATCTTCAACAACAAGGTTCCTTTCTTCATTTTTCGTGTTCAAAGTCGAAGAATCAATCAATTCAACAGGAACCCATCTCTCTCCCTCACCCAAAAGCCCATTCTCCACTTGCACCGCAGCAATCAGTTCCAAGGATGCATCGCCCGCCATTTTCAAACTCTCATCACGAGCCTCCGCAACAAAGTCCCTTTCTTCACTTTTCGAGTTCAAAGTGGAAGAATCAATCAATTCAACGGGAACCCATCTTTCCGCTTCACCCAAAACTCTCTTCTCCCCTCCCATCAAAGTAATCAGCTCCAAGGGTTCATCACAATCTTCATTAAAAAACTTTCTTTCTTCTTCAATTTCTTCAACACCAATTTCTTCGCAGACTAAATTAACATCTCCTTCCTCCTCCTCCAATTTCCCTTTCTGGGTACGCTCCAAAGCACCAAAATTGAAAGAATCTGCAGCATGAGCATCACAAACAAGATCACTGTAAGACCGAGAGCAGAGAACGCAGGGAGGCTTCAGGCCAAAGAAATGGGTGAACCTAGCGATGAGATGGGAGAAGAATCCATGTGAGAGGAGGAGGGCAATTAGAGCCCATTCAAGGAAAGTGTAAATGAGTATGATGGCGATCTTTGGGGTCCTGTTTCTTTGCAATATATCAGCAAATTTGCAGGCGGCCATTGCTTTTGATGGTTTTTTTTTTTTTTTTTTTTTTTTTTTTTTTGATGGGTTTGTAGTTTGATGCGTGTTTGTGTGGAAAGGGAAGAGCTTTGGTGGTGGTTTTTTTTTTTTTTTTTTTGATGGGTTTGTAGTTTGATGCGTGTTTGTGTGGAAAGGGAAGAGCTTTGGTGGGTTTGAGAAAGAGAAGGTGGTGGGTTTAAGGGAGGTGGAGGGAGTAACGGAGAAAGGGAAGTTGAATAGATTTCGGTCATCATCACAGCTAATAAACACGTGCTTTTTTACAGGGGTGGTCACATGAAAGGACAAATTATGAAAACCATCCTATTTACGAAAAAATTGCAAATTTCGACTCATTCATAAAATATTTGTGAAAACCGATCCAGTTTTAGCTGTCGGGCTGAAACTATGATGGTTTTGAAGAAAAATCTTCTGAAACTTCACGGGACTTGTTTCTTCACGGGACTTGAAGTCCCGTGAAATTTCGAAAGATTTTTCTTCAAAATCGTTCTAGTTTCATGCCGACGGCTGAAACCGGATCGGTTTTCACAAATATTTTATGAATGGATCGATTTTTGTAATTATTTTCTCAAACAGGATGGTTTTTAAAATTTGTCCTGACATGAAAAAGGAAAATTACAAATTGCTCTCTCACTTGTACTCAATTTGCAATAAACCCCCCTTTCTATAAGTTCAACAAAAAACACCTTATTTTTATGTTAGTTTTCAAACAGCTTCAGGATGAACATGTGATGTGTCCTGACATGAAAAAGGAAAATTACAAATTGCTCCCTCACTTGTACTCAATTTGCAATAAACCCCCCTTTCTATAAGTTCAACAAAAAACACCTTATTTTTATGTTAGTTTTCAAACAACTTCAGGATGAACATGTGATGCGTGTATAATGATTAAGTTTAGTTTTCGCAATTACCTTTGTTGTTGATATTTAATATCATTTTTCAATTACTTTATTAAATAATGACAATGTGATAGTGTCTGTTATAAATGTTATCGCTCTGGGTTTTTTTTTTTTTTTTTTGTGGGAACTTAATTGATGAGGAAGTTTCACGACAAACTGGATATAGATGGAGCGGAATTGTACATAACTCACCGCAGACAAAAAGTTATAAAATTATTAGCAAAATTTTTCATAATAAAAAATGGAAACAGCAATTTATATGATATCTATTTGTTTATGTTCTTTGGTTTCATAGAAAAAAGAAATTAAAAAATAAAAATTTAATAGTTAGATGCAAGAAAAAAATAAACATTAAAATTTCTGTAGTTTCCGTTAATTTTCTTTTAATTTCTAAGTTAATGAAAAAGGAAATAGAAAAGTTAAATCCTGATATGACTCACTGCGCTTTTCAATTAATTTTCAGTCACTTGCAGTTTATTTTACACTATTTTATCTGCTTTCTATTTATTTTTCAGTTATCAGACACTAATTAACAAGATTTTTTTTATGTTCTAAACAAGGAAGGAGAAATCAGGCACATTTTTTTTTAAATATCAACCACATTCTAAATAAGAAGAAATGTTATTATTTCCCACGGTTTGAAAGTTCAGTAGAAAGAAAACACTAGAAGCAAACTAGTTTTCATCCAAAACCAAAATATGGAGGGATTTCTAGTACACAATAAAGAAGTGATATGAAAGAAGTTTAGGTGTTCAATTATTCCATGCGTGCAATTAAAAAGTGTGCTAAGAAAAAACAATTTCTTTGGTTAGAGAATTTTTAATACACGGCTAGCCCATATGATGCCCATAGACAAGTTGCTGGTAGTAATATTTTTATGCTCATGATTCTCATATGCATGAGTTTATGAACATATATGATCAAATTCGATCTAGATATGTCCAAAGTCCAAATAACCAAAATAAGAAAAACGAGATGACCTATACAAAAATAATGAAGACCATCAAATATTGATTGTCCAAACTCAGGCACATCTTTCTCATGAGCTATCTAGAAGCCGTATACTTTACAATTTTGATCCTAAAGTCGCAATTTGAACTCTTGTTTGAATAATCCGTCTTCATCTCATTCCATAGTAGAGCAATGAAAGAAACATGAGTTGTCTATGAAAGTATGACATGAGCTATGAATAGAATCATTTTAGCATGTATCACATGAGTATAGGTATTTTATTGTTTGTCCCGAGTCACAGTAGTGAATCTAGAAAATATTTTCTCAAGGAACGGACAATAAACATTGATTTAGCTAAAAATAAAATAAAATATTATGAAACTATATATCCTGATGAGAATGTACTCAGTGCACTTTAAATGAGATAATTTAGTTTGCTATTAACTTATTTATTGTGTAAAGGAAGTTTACTAGGGAAAGGAAGGGGAAGATAAAATAAGGAAAGAGAAGATAGAGAAAATGAAGAAAAATATAATATCTTGTTTGGGAGTATTGTAGGCGTCAAATATTGCCTATAGGGTATCACACATAGTTCAAGATGAAGAGAAGACGATAAACGTTATTATCTAAGTTATAAAGGATCCTCCAAAGCTAAAAATCAACTAAAGAATGTACAAGAAGCACATCACGCAAGTTTCAAGGCACAAAACGCGTCTAAGAAACTGTAAGAATACTCATAGTTTCCGAGACAGTTGCGGTTGTCTCGGAAGCTATGAAGGCAAATCATAGTTTCCGAAACACTTGCGACTGTCTCGGAAGCTATGAAGGCAAATCATAATTTCCAAAACACTTACGACTGTCTCGGAAACTATAGTGGACTCGGTGACGGTTTTCTCGAGTTTTGGGCGATCCACATGGCTTCATAACTGCTAGGGATCATCCATAATCATGGGGGAGACATTACAAGCGAAAATTACGCTCATAATTGATGAAATAATGGCATTAAAACGTGGTTGAAGCAGTTACAAAACTGCCAGAAACGATCCCCGTTTCCGAGACAGTTGCGAGTGTCTCGAAAACAGAGGTTCTTCGACATGATTTCTTTTCAACTTCAGACTTCAGTTACAGTTCTTAGGGGTTATAAATACTCTTCTAGGACAATTACTAAGGAGGACAGAGCATTATTGAATAGAATAGAGCAGAGATTTGAGCGTTCTAAGCAAGGGAGAGAGAGGATCTTCATCGCATGTAAGCCTTTCAGAGCTCTTGCGATTCCTTAAGATCTAAGCTTTGACTTAATCTCGAGAAGAGTGTTTTATCTTACTTTGCTAAGATATTCACTTCTGTCTATGTTTTTAAAACGAAACATCGACCTTAAGCCTTCTTCACGGTTCACCTTGGATATGTGATTCGGTCGTCGACGGACTAACGCACCCCTGGCACAGGCAAAGATCCTACGCAAGCAGCGAACGATAAACATTCCTACGTATGTTTCTAGGAAGTTGTTTGTTTGTAGCGAGAAGTCTTATAAAAAGATTTGTTTCTCAAGATTCATTGTATTCGATAAACGAGTTGTAATGAGTTTAATAAATCAACTAATTTCCAACGCTAACAGTCTCACTGCCGAGATTGTCGTGTCGCAACCGAAGATCAAGATCCTGGTTGATTCAGCGGTCGAGTACGAGTTCGACGAAGCCAAGTTCGAGGAATATTTCTCTTCATCTTCATTAAAATCCTCCTCTCTCTACAAATGCGGAAAGACATTATCTTTGAAGGAGGTGTACTCACTGATGAAGGCTACAAGTAACTCCTCTCCAATCAAAGAGTTAAGCAATCAAAGTACGCCAACTCTGACGAAGAGAGCTCGTCAGAGGCGATGCCAACGCCAAACTCGTCAAATCGCCAAGGTATTAGAATAAGTCGACGGGGTTTGATATTACACAAACTTAGAGTCCAGGAGGTGTCAAGCAACCGAATCACTTCATTAGCGTGTGGCTGACAAATCCTCCAAGCCATCGATGGAAGAATGGATCCTTGTCAAAAGGAATCGTTCAACCCGGAAGGAGCGTATCCAAAGGCATCATGCACGTGCCGCACATGCTCACACCCTTTTGCAAAAGGCACAAGGCATGAAGAAGGAAGAGGTGGCCAAAAAACCACCAAGACCACGCCAAGTCTGGAGGCGAAAGTCCAGAATTGCATAAAAAATAACTCTGACAGCGGCCGAAGAAATCAGAAGTCCGAGCCACTTCAGGGTGACTCGCGCTTGGTGCGAGTCACCTCAAGGTGTCCTACACCTAATTCGCCTCCCGTAGCTGTTTCTCCACTTCCGTTAAGCCTCGTTCTTATTCCAGTTGATCCCGTACCTCCGAAGAAGTCTCACGGCAGCGATGACCTGTCGAAATTCAAGGTTACGATGGCGGACCATCTTGATCCTTCGCACAAAGAACAAGGCAAAGCTTCGGTGAACAAAACTCAAGTAGTTCCTCAGGCTGGGGGTCGTACAAACACTTTCGTCAAGCCAAAGGCCGCTCAAAGGTGTCTCGCCAACTCCAAACAAACCGGGGCACCTTATTGTACATGTGTGTGCGTCATGCACAAGAGGACTCCTGACATCGATCGCCTGGGGGTTCGTATTGAAACCCAGGAGTCCGTTAAGGTTCCACGCTCGCAAGGGGGTGGTCCTAAATGTGTGACTCTTGATGCGACCTTAGATCATTCAAAGGCGACAACAAATCGTCCCGAGAATATCAACAAGGTTCTTCATTCTCAAAAGAAGATGTGTCTGTCAAAAGACAACGTTATACTTGGGGCATCACACCAACAAGCGATGGATTACTCCAATAATCTGCACCATCAGACTGGGGGTGTGAACAAACTTGTCACGCCCCGTTTCCCAGAGTACAGGGAATCGGGATATGAGTAAGCCCGCGACGTATTAGATTGAGGAGAAATAAATAATAGACCGTTTCTTCTCAATCTAATACGCTAAGTGTTAAGAAATAAATACAAAGACACAGGTCCTCAATCATAAATAGCGAGAATATAATAAACAATTCAGAACAGAATATCCATATCATAGGTGAATATCATCCAAGACATAATATTTGGGTTAACATGCCCTTATACATGACTGAACAACTAAATACTAAAAAAATATAAAATACATCATTCAACGGGAAAGAAAAGTACTACAAAAGCAATTAGGACCATCAACTAAGA